CTTTGGAAGAAAAAAGTCCTCAAAGAGAAACATTTTGCCAATGTGAAAGACATGAAACAAAAAAAGGCAGAAGCACTGAAAGGCATCAAAATCAACAAATTCAAACTCTGTTTCAAGCAGTAGAAAAAACATCTCAATAGGTGTATTGCAACAAATGGGGAGTATTTTGAAGGTGACTGAAGTTTAAATATGTAAGAATAAATACGCAATTTTTAAAAAATAAATTCTGTTTTTTGAGGGTTCCCCTCATATAGCTCTTTATTTACCTCAGAATGAAGGCAATACACAGAAGGAAAAGATGACAATTGAAGATTCTTGAAATCAAAAACTATCAAGCAAAAAGTTCAATACATGGCCAAGCCAAGTGTTTCAATTCAGAAAATACACACACACACACAAAACCTAAGAGGTATTCCCATTATCCATGTTAAAAAAGAAATATGAATTTGGAAACATTCTAAAAAGCATACACTACGAATAGAATCAACACATTTTCCCCTTTTCACTTTAAAAGTGATATAAAAAGCCAACGACTTCAAACAGCATTTTGAAAGAAAAACAAAGGTTTCAAAGCCTTCTTTTTGGCTGAGTAATATTCCATCAGATATGTTGTATACCTGAAACTAATGTAATACTGTGTGTCAACTAAAATTTTAAAATAAGTTAATTTTAAAAAGTAAATACAAAAGCATCATTTATGAGTAGATTGTTTGTATCTATAAAATTTTAGGTCTTCCAATACACATTAAACATATCATTACAGAGCTCCATGTCAACATCAGGGAATCATTTTTTAAGAAAAGTATAGAATCCGACTTCTGTTATTTTCTGCATTAATATGCCATTTGTTTGATACTCCATATCCTTCAGTAATTAGGTAGATTTTTAATATGATATATATTTGGTAGTCTACCAAGATTTCCAAAATGTAAAAAGCTAAAAAGTAAAATAATTCAAAGCAACTTTTAAGAAAATAAAAACCTTAAGCCATCTAATATATTTCTAACCTGAAAAATCTTAAAGCAGAAAATAAATTATTCTGGAAAAAGAAATGGAAGTAGGCACAAAACTATTTTAAAAATGTAAAGATTACATCTTTTGACCATATAAAATGGCCTAACAAGGCTCCTTATTAAACAATTAATTTATTCTTTAAACCATAATGTAACTTATTTGTAAACCAGTATCACTTTTGTTTTAATATATACTTCCAAATATACCCTGGAGGCACTTTTGAAAATAATTAGTCCTAAAAAATCCAAAAAGGAGTCGGCTGTGTTACTACTGCCTTAAGGGGGCTTTGGAGTTTTATTAAGAATTAAATACTTGACTTCCGGCCAAGACGGAGGCGTGGGTAGACGCCCTGTGCCTCCTCACACAACCAAAACTAAGGAAAACAAAAATTTAGGAACAAAAAAACCACCAGAACAGAGAAAAATGAACTGCACGGAAGTCTGACAACCATTCATCCAGATCGGTAAGAGGGGCAGAGCCGGAGGCCCTCGGAGAGGGGTCGAGGGGTCCCGGCAGGAAGAAGCGGTGGCTGGCAGATGTGGGCACGCAGGGCGCAGACGGCAGTTGGCGGACCCCAGACGCGCAGGGGCGGCTGACGGACCCGGTGGCAGACCCTGGGTGCGGGAGGCAACGAGCAGACCCAGTGAGGCGCGCAAGGCAGCTGGCTGTCCGCAGTCACACATTCGGGTACAGATGAAACAGGCAGGGACACAGACCGCACAACCCAGGGACCCAGTGCCAGGAAATAAAGCCTAAAAGCACCGATTGAAAACACCTGTCGGGAGTGAGGTGCCGGGAGAATCTCCCAGCCTCACAGGAGGGCTCCTTGGGGAGACCCGCACGTACACAAGCCCACCCGCCCGGGAGCCAGCACCAGGAGGGCCCAATCTGCTTGTGGGAAGTGGCAGAGGGAACTGAAGTCCTAGAGAGAGCAGAGCAAGCGACATTGTTCCTTCTCGGACCCCGCCCCCATATACAACGTCATAACCCAGCGACTGGGTTGCCCCGCCCTGGTGAACACCTAAGGCTCCGCCCCTCAATACATTAACAGGCACAACCAGACAAAAAGAAAAATGACTCAAACGGAACAAATCAAAGCTTCGCAGCCAATACTTTTAAGCAACCAAGAGATAACCAACCTATCAGATACACAGTTCAAAGCACTGGTGATCAGGATGCTCACAGAATTGGTTGATTTTGGTTGCAAATTAGATGAACAAATGAAGGCTACAATAAGTGAAATGAAGAAAAATGCACATGGAACCAATAGTGATGGAAAGAAAACCGGGTTTCAAATCCATGGAGTGGACCAGAAGGAAAAAAGAAACAACCAAACAGAAAAGAATGAAGAAACAAGATTTCAAAAAAGTGAGGAGGGGCTTAGGAACCTCCAGGACATCTTTAAACGTTCCAACATCCGAATTATAGGGGTACTAGAAGGAGAAGAGGAAGAACAACAAGTGGAAAATTTATCTGAACAAATAATAAAGGAGAACTTCCCCAATCTGACAAAGGAAATAGACTTCCAGGAAGTCCAGGAAGCTCAGAGAGTCCCAAAGAGGTTGGACCCAAGGAGGAACACACCAAGGCACATCATAATTACATTAGCCAAGGTAAAAATGAAGGAGAGAATTCTAGAAGCAGCAAGATATAAGGGGACAGTCACCCACAAAGGAGTTCCCATAAGAATGTCAGCTGATTTCTCAAAAGAGACCTTGCAGGCAAGAAGAGGCTGGAAAGAAGTATTCCAAGTCATGAAAGGCAAGAACCTACATCCTAGATTGCTCTATCCAGGTAAGCTTTCATTTACAATGGAAGGGCAGATAAAGCGCTTCTCAGATAAGGCCAAGTTAAAGGAGTTCATCATCACCAAGCCCTTTTATATGAAATGTTAAAGGGATTTATCTAAGAAAAAGAAGATAAAAAATATGAACAGTAAAAAAAGACATAAACTCACAGTTATTAACAACCACACCTAAAACAAAAGCAAACTAAGCAAACACATAGAACAGGAACAGAACCACAGAAATGGAGATCACACGGAGGGTTAGCAACAGGGGAGTGGGAGGTGGAAAAGGTACAGAGAATAAGTAGCATAGACAGTAGGTAGAAAATAGACAGGGGGAGGGCAAAAATAGTATGGAAAATGTAGAAGCTAAAGAACTTATGAAACATGGACATGAACTAAAGTGGGGAATGTGGGTGGGAGGGGGTGGGCAGGGTGGGGGAGAGTGAAAGGGAAAATGGGACTACTGTAATAGCATAATCAATAAAATATATACTTTAAAAAATTTTTAAAAAGAATTAAATACTTGTTAGAGGTATCATTCAGTAAGATATATTTTTAAAAAATACACTTTTCTCCAAAATTATTTATGATGTATTTTCATATGACAGATGTACTGGACACTTGAATTTGCAATGAAATATCTGTCACCCTTTCTTCCTTGATTAACCATTGCTCTAACTGTGACATGCTGCATTAATTTTAAGGCTTTTAAAGTGGAAATTACAATGCCTGCTGTGATAATTGTGATACTACCCTAACTATGGCAATCACTTTAAAACTACTTCTTTGCTTATCATTAGCATTGCTAAGTGATAAAAATAAGTACATCAGGAATATTCTGGGAAATGATTGTTTAACAATTTTTAATATTCTGAAAAGCTCAATCTAGAAGACTCTAAGCACCATGAATTAAGACACTCTGCTGACATGGACCCTTCTAAATTTCCTCTAAGTAAAATCCCCAGATGGTTCTCTCCCAGTCACTCCCTCAACCACTCTTCTCCTTGGCTCTACTTCCCATATAGGCAAGCTCACCACACCAGTTGCCAGACCAGGCTGACAACAGAATAATCAAGGGAGAGAACAAAGTCCTGGGATAAAAACAGTTCAGATTCAAGTCTGAGAGCTTTTGAGCTGCTCCACCTCTGGGCACCCAGTACCCCCAGCACGAGTCAGATGGGTGAAATGGAAAAGCAGGCACTCCAGTGACAGCAAAGGGATCACTTCCTCCATCTTCCATAAGTCCGAGAAATTCACCACATGTGAAAGGCAAGCAGCTCTTCCACGACAGCTCATTTGAAATAAGGTCCTGTCGCTCTTATGTGCTGACAATTGATTTTATAAATGGAACTGCCCTACATTTTGTTTTCTCTTGAAAGAAAGTCAACTTATACAATCATTATTCTTCTGAATGTTCAGAGTTCTTGACAAGTGACAAATGACAAAGCAGAAATGATAAACCAAGACTAAACATGGATAAAAATCAATCATGACTTTCCTGCTTATTATCTTATAAACATCTGGGTTTAATTCAACCCAAAGATATAGCAGAGAATCAACATAGGAGCATAAAATCCATTTAAAGTAACTGATTATACAAGAGAAAAGATGATGTGAATGCATACAAAGATTAGTGAAATGCTTTCTGTTGCCATCAACAGGGCACAAAAGCAGAGTCTTAAAGACGCTTGTGATCTGATAATACTGCTCATTCAGTCAGATTATCAATGTCACCTATTTAACTAAATCTATTACAGTGGCTGCCAGAAAATGGTCCACTGGTAACTTCCACAACTTTAAATGCTTCTTTCTAGCAAACACTTAAGTTGAAATATACATATAAATGATATTTTAAAATAAAAGTCACGTGGTTGTTAAGAAAGATTTTATGATTTTCTTACACTTCGATATTAAAGAATAATTGCACTTTAGGGAACTAAAATCTAACTGGGGTTAGAGGTTAGATCTATGTTAAGGGTCAACTCTCAAAAGCCATATATAATGAAAAACGCTTTCAAAAGATTTGTAAAAAGTCAATTACTCTTTACCTTGAAAGAGTCACACATAACCACTCTTCTATCAAGAACATCTTGATAGCTGATATGCACAGTATGGCACACAAGCGTTTGTTCCCAGGACCAAAGAATAAATGGTTGGTCACAGCAAAAACCGTTCCTTAGGAATTTGGCTTTTCTACCTGATTGTTCTTGTCTGTCAGTTGATCAAGAGTTTCAGACTGTTTCTCCAACGCTCGCTCCAACTTCTTATGCTTAAGCTTCCACTGCCGAATGGACTCCTGAGCTTTCAGTTTCAGCTCTTCTCTCCTCTTCTCCGCCTCCTGTCTCAGGGCCTCCGACTGCTGGAAGTCCAGGAGGTACTGCTCGGCCTGCTTGGTTGCGTCCTCGGCGTGGTGAGTCAGCTCCGAGATCTGGAGGTCAGCATGCTTCTGCCTGGCATCGCATGTCTCAAAGTGCTTCTGGATCTCCTGAAGTTGATCCAACATCTGCAGCTGCTGCTTTTCCTTGTTGTCCAGTTCACATGTTAAATTCTAGGAATAAAGCAGGTGAAATATTAGGAATGTATTCTTGTCAAAAATGGATGCATAATATAACAAAGAACTGTCTCTAATGCCACTAAAATGGGAATCATCTATATTAAATTTCATTAGCACCCAATCTAGAAAACATGAGTCCTTTTCTGTACATTTTATAATCATATTAGCTGAGAATAATTTTTTATAAAAATTTTTTTCCTACTACTTCATTCTCCAAAAAAGGAAAATAAGTATTTTCCAATTGGCCATCAACAAAATAGATAGAAGGCCTTGCTGATGAAAACAATGTGCATTACTTTAATAAAACAGTATTCTGTCCACCTAAAGAAATATCAGACAGATTACCATAGCAACTGTGTAACATTTCACTTCCTAAAATTTTGTTAAAATAAAAATCCATGACAAAAAAATGAGCACTGATGACAGAAACATTGGTATAAATAACACCATACTTGAAAGTCCATTTTTTAAAAAAGCCTCTCAATAAAGGATTTCCCAGCTAAGTCAACATAATGTTATATGTTGATAAACTTACCTCAAGCTTCCTGATTCACCATAGATTTTTAAATAAACAAATTTATTTTGAATACTTGTCTAATCCAGAAAATAACCTGAACTCTTAAAATCTAAAGCAGAGTTGTTCGATAATACATTTGGAAATCATACTAAATCATCATGATTCATATATATTTTTTATTTGAGTAGATTGGGTACAGATCTACTTTTAATTTAAAAAATGAGAGGGCATTGTTTTTAGATAGCATTCTATACAAATAAAATAATATCTTAATCATTAACACTAAGCCACTTTTCTAAAGCCTTGGAAAGGAGTGACAAATTCAGAAATAAGCATTTACAACGTGGCCCATAGCTGCCCTTCCTGCACCTTAGTTTCAAATACCTGGGGTGACAAAGTTAACATGACGAGCTCATGTGCCCAAATAAGATTGGGTTCGGGAGGCTAAGATGCTGCTGCAAGCTACACAAATCATAAATATCACCTACATTGTACTAAGACACCTGCAGATGGAAGCTGGAAGCGTTTACCAGCTCCCTCAGGCTCCCACAGCACATGTTCTGTTCCAGAGTCCATTATTCCTGAACCGTGACTTAAATAAAGTCAAATACAATTTCTCTCTTGATTAATGTTACGGCTTGACATTATGACAAAAAATATAAAAATAATGCCTCAAAAACAAGCTTCATTTTCTTAGCAACAGGTTTGCATATGCTCAGTTTGCTAAATTCAATGCAGCCTGAAAGAGATGAGTCACTCCTTTATCTATGCAAAGAGAACAATAAACTGAGATCTATGCACTTGTTTATGTGGAAAATTCTAAAATGAAATCAGAAAACTCTTATTTAATACCACTATGTCATAAATCAACTTTATTAACTTGCAGTAACCAACAGATGTACCCATTTTATTTTTTTCCATCACACACTTGGAGAGTGGTTACATTTCCTCTGTGTTAGGCACACAGTTTACAGACAGGTTAATAAGATCTGGCTTCAACACCAAAGAAGCTAATAATGTAAGTAGGGAGACAGTCACACTGACAGCTAATTACAACAGGGATAGTGCTAGGTGCTAAGATGTGACAGACAGTTAGCCAAAGAGGTCTGTGTGGCTAAGGAGGGTTTGCCTTTGGAGGTGACATGTGAGCTGAAATTTAAATGAAAAGGAGCTAATAATAATAATAATAATAATAATAGTAACAATAATTACAACTATGACTGAAGTTTATTGGACACCTGAGTTGTGCAAAAAATTGTGTAAATTCTTTATATGAATTATCTCTTTCAATTCCACCACCAAACTACAGTAATGCACAATAGCAGGAACGAGAGCCACAGAGTGGGCCATCGGTGACTGTTTGTGAAGAGTCGTCCTTCGAGAGGGCTAAAAAGACACCGGAAATTCAGGTCAGAAATCAGGTTGGGGGATGCTGAAATCAGTTTAAGCTTTCAGAGGTTTTTCAGCACAGGAATAACATGGTCAGATCCATGCTTGAGAAAGATTAATCACCAAAGGATATTATGCTAACACTAGGATATTAAAATATTATGGCAACATTAAAAATAATTGAAAATCATCATTTTAAAGCAGGAATGAACTTTTAGAACCAATTTTTCTCTTATCTGAATTCATTTTCTGCAATCAAATTCAATGAAGCTCGCTTATAACAGATAAGAACCAACTGTGGTATTTAAGAGACAAGAAAAAAAAAAAAAAACCCTTGTCAGTCTTTCGGAAAGAAATACAGGTATGCTTCCATCCAGTCCCATAAACATTTACTGCACCGAAAAACCTCCACGCTGCTGAGACACGAAGATGAGCAGGACAGCCTGGTTCTACACTCTACTGCTCTGGAGAACCATATAGCCTGGTTAGGGAGACAGACACACAGCAGTTATCTTCAATAAACATGATATATGTGAGCAATTCTTTCTTCTCTATCTCAAATTTTGCCTCTCTTCCCAATTTTTAAGACCTAATCTATACTTTCATTACTTTTCTCAGTGTTTTTATCTGATTATATAATTTTTCTAACACTGATTCTTTGTCAAAAAAAAAAAAAAAAAAAAAGAGCCCCGAGCTAACACCATGAAGTGGTGGCTAAGGAGCAAAATGAAGATATTGATAATTCAACAGTTGCTACTGAAAGTAATACGGAGACAAATGGAGGGGCAGGGAAGAGGGAGACAAACAGGGATCGAATGTGAATGCCTATGCCAGCCAACCCCAGAACTCGAACAACAACCCACACCACCAAGGCAAGAGTGTGGCTAGAACCCCTGCCCTCTGATGCCCTTCAGTGCCTTCTTCCTTGATTAAAGTGCCCTTAACATTGGTGTTGGGAGGAAAAAGGAGTTAAGAATAGGGAAGAGGAAAAAAATTAAGGAGAAAATCTCCTGTTAATACACAAGATTCCTCTCCCAAACATTCACAAATCAATCATTTTGTACAAAATGCAGGAATGCAAAATGTGGGAATGCAGACTGGTCCAGCCACTGTGGAAAGCAGTATGGAGATACCTTAAAAAATTAAAAATGAGCCCTGGATGGCGTAGCTCAGTGGATTGAGCACAGGCTGTGAACCAAAGCATCGCAGGTTCGATTCTGAGTCAGGGCACATGCCTGGGTTGCAGGCCACGGCCCCCAGCAACCACACATTGATGTTTCTCTCTCTCTCTCTTTCTCCCTCCCTTCCCTCTCTAAAAATAAATAAAGTCTTTTAAAAAAAGTAAAAATGGGCCTGCCTTTTAACCCAGCGATCCCACTTCTGGGAATATATCCAAAGGAACACAAAACATTAATTCTAAAGAAGACAAGGACCCCTATGTTCACTGCAGCATTATTTATAATCAGGAAGGTATGGAAGCAGCCCAAGTGTCCATCGGTAGATGAATGGATAAAACAGCTATGGGGCATCTATACAATGGAATACTACTCGGTCATTAAAACAAATTTTTTTACTCTTTGTGACAGCATGGACAGACCTGGAGAACATCACACTAAGTGAAATAAGCCAGTCAGAGAAAGACAAATATCATACGATTTCACTCATATGTGGAATCTAATGAACAAAATGGACAAACAAGCAAAACAGATACAGACTCAGATGAGAGCAGATGACAGCTCTTGGTGGGGTGGGGTTTAGGGGCTGGAGGGATCGAGCAAACAGAAAACAGGACTCAAGAACATGGACAATAGTGTGGTGATTACAGAGGGGAGAGGGGTACAAGGGCTTAAATGGTATTTTTTTTAAAGAAGAAAAAAAAATGTTTTAAATCCCAAATTAGGGCCAAGCCAAAAGGAAATACAATCATTTTTTTTATAATTAATTTCTTATTTTTTTTAAGATTTTTTATTTATTTATTTTTAGGGAGGGAAGAGAGGGAGAGAGAGAGAGAGAGAGAGAGAGAAACATCAATGTGTGGTTGCTGGGGGTTATGGCCTGCAACCCAGGAATGTACCCTGGCTGGGAATCGAACCTGGGACACTTTGGTTCCCAGCCCACACTCAATCCACTGAGCTACGCCAGCCAGGGCTGAAATACAATCATTTTTAAAGCCTCTATTTACTAAAGAAAAATTAATGAAGAATCCACTTGTTCAATATTCCCAAACAATTTAATAATATCTGAGAAAGCCCTCTTTCTAAATTCTAGGGGCAAAATTAACTACAGACTTTTATTTTTAACATTTACAACAGCTAGCCTGTAATTTTTAAGATACATTGAATGTATCATACAATAGCTGTAGATACATATACATGAATACATATGCACACTTTTTAGTATACTACAGTAAACATGTACACAAAATTTCTGTGGGTGTTTGTAGTATACTTATTATACTGAAAATAAAGAATTTTAATTATAGACATTGAGTTTTTATATCTTGGCATGCATGGATGATAAGTTCATTTTAAGCATAGGTGTTTGGGTGAAAACTCCTCAGTTAGAAACACAATTCTTAATTAAAACATTTCTCATATAAAAACACACAAAACCCACATAAACTACAACAGAATTAGACAGACACAAGCAAAGCAAGGACCATGGGCCAGGCATAGGTCACCAGGGCAGAAAGCCCCAGGTGCCTAGCAATGGGCAAACCTGGGAAAACAAGGACCTTGCCCCCAGGGTAGCCTTTCCACCCCTAGCATATCACTGGCCCTGTGGTTCAGACACCCTGACATTCCATATCACTGGTCATGTGGTTCAGACCTTCTTCTGACCTTTCTTACCCTGGTATGTAGCCAGTCACGCAGAAGACCCCCTTGGAGGAGGAACAAGGGGCCGAAGAGTGCCCTCTAGAGACTCCCAGGTGGGCCCCTCCCCCTCCCATCATATGACCACTCCCTGGAGCATTAACCCCTAGGGCACAGGCGGCAAACACAACGCCCTCGGGCTGAATCTGGCCCTCCACCTTGTTTTCTCCTGCTACCACCTTGTTTCTACCCAATGGCAGCTCTGAGCTCCTTGC